AGTTGCCCGAAATGTTCTGCAAACAAGGGGCTTTTCTGTATAGTAGTATGCCATTGATGTCAGCTATTCCGTATACCTCATACATGTACTTTTGAAGTCATATTATTATTATATTTTCAACAAGTCGGCAGTCAACTCACTCTCACCACCCGAGACAGGTTACCCAAAAAGTAAGTAATCCCCAAAAAAAAACTACTTTATTCCATCATTCAACCACTTTTCACCTAACTCGTACCGTAAAATCACTGTCTTTGCGAGCGCTCAGATACGACAGTTCAGAAATCCCTCCAAACTGTCAATATCCCAAACCTTCCTATAGGAGTCAAGCATGTACTTTCCCATTTCAGGACTCAAGTCCGGCTAACCAGTTTCCCTAAATCCCTTCACTATCTGTTACCACGCACACACTCCAACAGTTTTCGTCAGGTCCCAAAAACCATCGTCTCCATTCACTCCTATCTAACACGCTCACAACGCTAGCTGGAAGTCCAAGCCCCTAGCCCACGAAACCACCCTTTTACCTCCTCCCTCCAACTTTTTCCGAGGACGATCCCTACCCCTCCTTCCTTCCCCAACAGATTATACACTCTCCAAAGTCATTCCTATACTTTGTTCCATTCTCTCAAAATGAACAAACCACCCAATAACCCTCTCGGCCCTCTTAATAATTTATTAACTCAACACCTCCTAATTTTCAGACACTCCTCCCAATTCTCGGCATAATACTTACACCATACATTACCCTAGACAGGAATCCTCCACTGCTTCTAGCCGCCTCCTTGCAGCGGCATTTACAAACCCAAGCTTCACACCCATACAATTGTTGTACCAAAGTATTTTCATACATTTCCATTCTTTGCCTCCATAGATAACGTTTTTTTTTGTCTCCACATATACCTTATCGACTACTCTCCTTTTTTTTATCCTTCATCATCTTCTATGGTTAACCTCATCCTCAAACCCATCCGCGACAACATCAACTCCCAAAATATTTGGAAAAACATCCACGTTCTTACATTCTCCCATCCCCCCCCCCCTAATGGATATCCAATGTTTCTTTACCTAAATCATATGAGACTCTTATTCACCATTACACTTTTATATGTTCACTTTCAACTTTCTACCTTTTCACACACATCCCAAACCCTCATCCACTAAACCTTTTTGCAATTTTACTTTAGATCTCCATAAGCAACAGTATCATCAGCAAAAAGTAACTGTAATTCCTAAAACCATTTTGTATTTATTCCCATAATTTAATCCCACCCCTCTCCCGAACAAGCCCAAGCATTTTCTTCTTTTACAACTCCATCTATAAATAATTAAACAACCATGGTGACATTACACATCTCTGTCCGACACTCAACTCCCATGTATCTGAAAACATTCCACTTCTTCCCATACCTCCTCCCCAATTGATAATCCAACTTTTCTTTTTCTAAATCATTTGGATACCCTCATCACCTTACTCCTTTTCTATCATCACTTTCAACTTTCTACTTTCACACACTCCCAACTCAATCACTAAGCCTTTGCAACTTTTCTATAGAATCTCCTTCTCCCCAACACTGTATCCGCAAAAAGGAACTGGAGTCCACTCATTTTGTTCTTTATTTTCCCATAATTTAATCCCACTCCTCTCACCAACACCCTATCATTACTCTTTTACAACCCTCGTCTATAAATATATTTAAACAACCAAGTGACTTTCACATCCCCGTCTAAGACCTACTTTTTACATGGAAAGTAGTCTCCCTCCTCCTCACACCCTAACCTGAGCCTCACTATCCTCATAGGAAGCTCTTTACAGCATTTAGTAACTTTTCTTCTACCTATCCATACACTTGCACTATCTTCCACATTACACCCACTAATCATATTGCCTTTTCAAAATCTAGAAATGGAATGAAAACTTCCTCTCTTTATCTAAATACATATCACATATATGCTTTCAATGTAAACACTAGATCTACACATCCCCTAACCCACTCTGAAAACCTCCGTGCTCAACCACATTGCCAACATTTCTGTCTACTTTCTAATTTTTTCAATAACTTTACCGTAACACTTTTCCTAGTTACACACTAAAATATTCCTCTATAATTTTTACAATCTCTTTTGGGACCCACTTCCTTTATATAAATAGAACCTATTCACCGCTCGTGCCAATTCTTTTCCTTGAGTGAGGTTTGTAGTCTCTGGACTGTATGTGTGTGTGTGTGTACTCACCTAATTCTACTCATCTAATTGTGGTTGCAGGGGTCGAGACTCAGCTTCTGGCTCCGCTTCTTCACTGACCGCTACTGGGTCCTCCCTCTCCCTGCTCCATGAGCTTTATCATACCTCGTCTTAAAACTATGTATGGTTCCTGCCTCCATTACATCGCTTGCAAGACTATTCCACTTCCTAACAACTCTGTAGCTGAAGAAATACTTCCTAACATCCCTTTGACTCATCTGAGTCTTCAGTTTCCAATTGTGACCCCTTGTTTCTGTGTCCCATCTCTGGAACATCCTGTCTCTGTTCACGCAGGATTTTGTATGTCGTTATCATGTCTCCCCTGACCCTCCTGTCCTCCAGTGTCGTCAGACCGATTTCCCTCAACCTTTCTTCGTAGGACATTCCCCTTAGCTCTGGAACTAGCCTTGTTGCAAACCTTTGCACTTTCTCTAATTTCTCTGACGTGCTTTGTACCAGGTATGGGTTCCAATACTGGTGTATGCGTAACTTCCAGTATGGGCCTGACGTACACTAGTGTTTATGAGAGTCTTGAACGATTCCTTACTGACGGTAATTACGGAACGTCGTATTCTCAGGTTTGCCAGGCGCCCATAGTGCCGCAGCGAGTTACCTGATATAATGTGTTGCTTCTGGCCGAACGTGTGGGTATATAATACATCACCCATGATCTTTCTCTTGAGTGAGGTTTTGATGTCTTTGGGCACAACTAGCCTTATTTCTCTGTCTTCGGTTTCTTTGCCTTCCACAGATCTTATGTACTTCGATTTGGGCGGGGTTAAAATTGAGGAGCCAGTTGCTGGGCCACGCGTACAGCCTGTCCAGTCATTTGTAGTGACCTGTCGGATCCGCATCTGATTTAAGTTCTCATTAAAATTCACATCACTGCAAACAGGGACACTTGCGAATCTATCACTTCCGTCTTGTCAATTTCATTATTCCAAGAATAGCATGGTTCCAAGACTGACCCCTGTGAGACCGTCGTCACAGGCGCCCAACTGGTGATACCTCATCACGGACCATGACTCGCTGTTGCCTTCCTGCTTAGGTATTCTGTGTCCATTGGCAGTGCCCTTCCTGTTATACGTGCTTGTGTGTGGTGTGATATATAATATATGTTAATATTCATAATATTATATATATATATAATATATTATATATTAATATATAATATATATATATATATATAATATTATGATTATGATGCAATAAGATCACAGTAAACAGGTGATTTCGATTGCAAAAACATCCACTCTAAAGAAGTGGATCGGATAGTGAGGTGCTGGCCAGACCCTTATATAAGCTTCCTGGATGCTTACTTCATAGTTCCTTGATAATGTGCAGTTAGTCAACGAAAGCGTTGGAATTTCACTATTCTTCTCAGAGTGGTTGTTTTGCATAATATTATATATATTTATATATATATATATATAAATTATTATATATATATATATAAATATAAATATATATATGGTGTGTGTGTATGTGGTGTGTGTGTGTGTGTGTGTGTGTGTGTGTGTGTGTGTGTGTAAGAGGAGCTTATGACGCCGCTTCGGTTCAACTTGGACCATTTACAAAGTCACACTAACAAAAAAGAGAGGAGGGAGTGTATATAGGCCAGCAGACAGGGACGGGAGCAAGAGGTGTAGTAGTGGAGGTAGTAGTAGTAGTAGTAGTAGTAGTAGTGGAGTCAGTCAGATACTAAGAAAGAGGAGCACTGCAAGGGAGCTAGAGGCCCACAGAGGGAGGAGAGGTATGAACGAGATTAGTGCGAAGAGTGTTAGTCTGGCGGAAAATAAGCTTGATGTCTAAAGAACGGAGAGAGTTGTTGAGATTAGAAAGACCGGGAGAGTTCCCAGGAGTAGAGTTTGGGAGAGGAAAGAGTCCGTTTAGCACGTGAGAAGGCAGAGTCTATGAAATGGGAAGAAGTACCTCAGTCCCTAAAAATAGGTATTAAAGTCTCGACACATATATGCCGAGATATATACCCCACTCGGGGTATATCCTGTCTAGTATTTATACTGTCAAGTATATTTGTATACCAAATAAAATAACATTTATACGCCATGAGAAATCGGTTTATAATTATGTATATTACGGGTTACATGCGTTCAATCTCACACATACTCAGTAAAAACGTAAATTATCTATGTTCTTACGTCAGTACTTAATAGTCTCCTAGAGTATAAAGTATTGAAGTAAGAACAACAGTTACTGCAGTAATGTGAGTACGCAAACTGTTCCACACGCTTCATGAATACAGAAACTATTCCACATGCTTCACGAGTACAGAAACTGTTCCAGACGCTTCACGAGTACGGAGACTGTTCCACACGCTTCACGAGTACGTAAACTTTCACACGTTTCACGAGTACAGAGCTTCAAGAAGAGGTATGATAGTTCATGGAGCAGAGGGTGACCTAGTGACAGCCAGTGACGAGGCGAGGCCAGGAGCTGTGACTCGACCCCTGCAACCACAATAGATGAGTAAACTTGGTAGCACACACATACACACACAAACCCACACACCACACAAACACACACACACCACACACACACACACCACACACACCACACACACACACACACACACAATAGTTTGGGTTGGATACTTCCACAAACCTCACGATTACAGAGACATGTCCTTCTACACACCTAACGAGTACAGAAAAATGTGCACACGTCCACACACCTCGTGAGTACTGTGAGACGCATGTACACGTCCACACAGGTCACGAGTACAAAGATACATGCGCACTTACAGCTCACGACTGACTGCAAGCTGTGCCAGTCGGAGAAAGGTTTCTGGCCGCGGAACACCATCAGTCCCTTCACTGGATCCTGGACACCACTCATGGGATCTTGACTCAACGAGCTGGTGCTTCCCTCCTCTTGTATCAAATGTGATTGCCACCCATTTCTCAGGCGTTGTGTGGTATCCCCTGAGAATGTTACACTATATAGTCCACGTTCCTCACGCACCCATTGCCATGCCCTCTCAACTAGTAGAGTGTCATCTCAGAGTATAGCACTTCAGGTGACCCAGTACTGTAATTGCCCAGTTCAGTTCACCAATCAGGTGGGAGCTGGCTCTTCAGCCAAGGTGACGTCACGCCTGTCTGCTTTACTCTAGTCGAAGTCACTCCTACTTTGAGTAGCTCTTTGCTCTGTCTTATTTTATTGCTGACTTCATATCTTAACTCTGCGAATATTGTACACAGTGGTGAAGAAATACAAAGGTAAACAAAGACAACTACGCTTTCTGTGTTTACCTTGCCCTTGTCTTGCCCAGTTGCTTGCAATATTGCTGACTTTAGCTACGGCCAGCTGCAACAGGCTTTGCATTACTCTGTTCGTAATTGCTGTGTCACCCATTACTTGTTAAGTGTGTTATTGTTAAGATACTAATAACAAGGATAACGCTATTAGTAGTAGTATTAGTAATATTATTGTCACCAAACAAGCGACACTCGTCCAGATAGAAACGTTACCTGGCCACTCTTGGCAAACCTTGCCATATGTACCGCAGCTTTTTTTATTTTCTTATGTGGTTAAATTTACGTTCATTGATGAATCAAACCTAATCTGAAATAGTCTAGCCCAACCCAGTCAGACCTAACCAAACTAAACCTCATCAAACTTAACCTAGCCTAACTTAATCCAACCTCTTGTAACATAATCAAACTCACGCTAACCTAACGGAATCTAATCAAAACCGGGTCGAAGAGTCTGTAAAAACTACAAGAACAAATACCGCAAACCCCCTAAATTATGGCAAGTGCTCTTCCGAAACCAGCAAATATTTTAATCCAAACAAGGTGTTGGAGTTAAGAAGAAATAACGGTATGACACAATCTGTCCTCCATTCCACCTGAAGAAACGTCAAATTAAAAAGGCAGTTACAATACGTCGTCTAGCAAAGATTTTCTCGTGCCTGGAAGACACAAAGAATGACCAGAAATGATAAGAATGTGTCATCACTTTGGAACTATGATTAAAGCTTATAGATACACGAGGGTCATTAAGGCTGTATGATTGTATCAAGATCTCCTGTGACAATTAATTCATAAAAAATAGTTAACCCCAAATATAGGATTTATGGGATCAGAGTGTATGTATAACAAGATATACAGTATACACACCTCCATGAGTGCATTCACTCTTGCTCTCAGTGTACACTCATCAACAAGGATTTACTCATCACAGCCAACCACATAAAGCACATGTGGCTGTCTCATCAGTTTGTAAGTCCATTATAACAACAATAAAACAACATCAACAGCTATTACAACACTTTTATGGTTACTTACGGAGGCGTGTTGTAAGCCTCGTCTATCTTCTATTTTTATTTCTTAGTGTGGGCCTCTACTTTGGGTTCGACTGTGTGTATGCTGGATATAACGTTTGATTGGGGGTTTGTTGATGGGGGTTATGATTTTGGGGGTGGACGGGGAGTCATGGAGGGGGCGTGGGTTAAAGGAGGGGATAAGTATTGTATTCGGCCGGGGGTAGAAGCGACCATACCGGGCTCGGGGTAGTGGGTAGCAGGTTTAATACGTGATAACGCAAATATTGTATTGCGTGGCGCTGGAAGGTGGGCCGATGCTTCGTAATCCGCAGAAGATACGTCAATTGGTTTTTCTGTAATGGTGGCGAGATACGTGAGGGTCTTAAGGGTTGGCAGTTGTAATTCGTTAAAGAATCCCCTGGGGCGTATATAAAAGGGAATAAATAACCCATTGGTATTATTGTGCGTCGCCGATAGTAGTTCTTCAATATCTTGCATCCATATATAGGGAGCTACGGATGGGATATCTGAGGGTGTTGGCACCTATAAATGAATAATTATATGGGATAAAGGGTCTAAAGCAGGGCCATAAAGGACCCGAAGCGGAGGGGAAGTGATAGTTTCGATCCCGTTGTCTGGTGATGCAGCTATTCCATGAGGCTCACTTTGGTTTTCGAAAACACTTGGATTTAGTTACTCCATACTGGATGGGTAGTGTCCATTGCGTCACTGCGTGAGGATTCCGTGTACCGTTACGCGGATCTTTGAGTCGCAGGTAGCAAATCAAATGACCCGCACCCACACCCACAAAAGCCGGGATCTTCCGGTGCCGTGCACGCTGGTGTTTGCTCATTTCTAGGAGACGCGAGACGGGCGAATCACTTCCTAAATTAGCTGTACTACAGGTTATAGACGTTAATATATCGTGACGAGGTCGAGATTACGCGTAGACTTCCCATAAGAAAGCACAGCGGGACATTATTACCTTACCAATCTTGCCCTATCCTAGTAGTACATCATCCTTTCTCTGCGGTTCCATATTACACAGGCTATCGCGAGGTATTGTTCCATGCATTATATATCCGGGGCGCGCCGTGACACACGCGGCCTCCTATCGATCGCTCCTGGACACAGCCCCCGCTCGGCTGAAGGTATATTTATTATTAAACACAGAGGCCTGGTACTCAGGAAACACTGGACCTGCGGTATCAGACATCCCTTTTTGTTACTTTCTCCTGCCCTCTAGTGGAATAAAATTGACACAGCTTATATATATATATATATTTATATAATATATATTATATATATATATATATATATATATATATATATATATATATATATATATATATATATATATATATAATTGTCGTGCCAAATTATGTTAAAACTGGTCAATTAGCAAGAAAACTCATTTAAAATTAAGTCCTTTTAAAATTTTTTCTCTTATAAGTTTAAGATATGTTTTTTCATTAAATGTTAATGTAAAAAAATTTAATTTGGCACCAAAAATGAATCTTAGAATCTTACCTAACCTTATCATAAAAAAGAACAATTTATTTTAGCCTTAACAAAATAAATATATTTTAGATTTGTTTACAATAATTTATACTAAAAAATGCACAGGGAAATATTTTTTTTCCGTCTAGGTTCAGAATGATTTTGGCGAAATTATTGCATTCAATAATCTTTCATCGGGTCCTATATGGCTTGTTGGGCGTTGCCTATTTAAGCCAAAGATCGAAGTTCTGCCTATCACGGCACGACATATCCTACTTTTATATATATATATAATTTTATACTATATATTTTTATACTATATATAGATCCCATAGTGAAGATACAGTTGCCCACAGGGATGCTCGACACGGCTGAAGCACTTAGAGGAAAGCTCCTGCCAGGGTAATACCAGTGCGCTCACATAAATCATTGGGACTACTCTCCTCTGTCCACCTATTTGGTTCCTATATGGTGTGGTGGTAGTCGAAGTCTGGGCTCCCCAACATTTTGAATTGCCTTCGGGACCGGGAAATGAGGCGCACCGAAGGAGGTGGCCGGGGTATAGGGTCGTAGGAACTCATGATCGGGGGTTCTAGGGATCTGGGCGGGTCTAGGTATCCGGGTGGGGGAGTTAGGGATGTTGTAATAGGAGCGGATGTGTGATATTGCAGCGGTGCCGAGCCAGATTTGTGGAAGGGCGAGGGGAGCGTGGAAAGGTGGCGAATTTGGTGTCACATAGGGCCAATGGGGGAGCGGCCCGCGGATGTAGAAGAGCAGGGGGAATAAGGTATTTTGACAGCTTCGCCGTGGATGGTCTGCCGAGGATAGAAGTGTGGATGGTTGGTATATAATGTTTTAGTGGTAGAAGGCAGAGCGTACACTGAAATAAAACTTCAAGATACTGTCAAACATGTGGGGGACGGTTAGCGAGGAATGGTCAATCAGGGGACGGCCACCGGGGGCGCTGTCAAGGCGTGAGAAGATGCGGCTCCCATGGGTAAGGATGAACTAAGGGACCGAAGGAAGTCCTTAATATCGGCTCAGAATAGTAACTGCCCCCTCTAGATTATTACAGGAAGGCTGGCGTCATTCGGGAGTCTGGGGGAGGCGCGCGCAGGCGTTTTTAGTGTGTGTGGATTGTTGCGAGGGATTGAGCAGGTTTTGTGTCGGCTTCGGGTGGCTGATATGCCTGGTATTGTTATGCGGCACGGGGCAGAGGGCAACTTGGGGTTCTAGCTGGGAGGCGTGTGCACATTGAGTTGAATTGGAGGACAGGGGGTGTGATGGTTATTGATCATGATGAGGTGGCAGGGGAAAATTATTCGGAGTGTGAAGCAGCCTATTACAGGATAACAGGGGACGGAGCGGGTCGGGGCATGGGTGGGTTTGATATAGTGGTATGTTCAGGGTTAATGACTGAACCCAGTTTATGGATGGTTTGGCAGAGTAGGTTGTGGGCAACAATAGTGCTGGGACTTTGGCTGGCAATGACGTATCATGTCCTTACACAGGTTATGAAACCGGGGACAGCGAAATGGGTCTAATCCTGGACCATCCAAAAGTGAATCATCTCAGTCAGTCAACAAGTGAAAATGCAGTGAGATACAAAATACCAGGAGCAGCAGTCAATTGCCCACAAATGTGTCTTGCTAGAGGCACCTCTGGGAAGAAATGCCATTGGACACAATTCTCAGGAAGAAATCCAATTGGAAGAGTTTTAGGAGAATGGAACAACGAGTAGGCAATCTGGACACCCCACGATGCCTTGTACCTTCTACAAAAGTGCTGAGTCTGCCCAGGTTGAATATTCTAAGATGTGCACCTTCATATGATAAACCTATACTGCACGAATATGACAGTATTTGAGGGCATATTTTTACGAAAGTACTTAACCTTACTCTAGAGACGGGCAGTGGAACCAAGTCTAAATTCCAGTTAGACTAGGGGGCATTGGTGTCCGACAAGTATAAGATTGCGTACTGCTATTCTGTCCTCGTGTATTGCATCCAGAGAGCTTGTTAGCAGCGATTCTCCCTGAACATCTTTAGGGACAAGGATTGGTGCCCCAGGACCATAATTCATTGTGGAGCAATGATCTGGGATAAATCTAACGGGCTCAGAACCAGAACTGCTCCCCAAAACAATCTACAAACAATCGCATGGGATGGTCCAATAGTGGAAAATATAGACATCAACGATGCTTCAGAGGTGTCAGGGTAGGATAGAGCCCGCCTGATGGCAGTGAGAAGCCCTCATGCTG